TATAAATTGTATTTCTCTCTCTAGTCTCACCGATGTTTTCATATTTCTTGCACCCTTCAGAAGTACAAACAGTCATGGGATAGTCAAGTTTTTCAATCTTCAGCTCATACCCTGTGAACTTTAGTTGAGCTTCGAAAGTCTTGATATTTTGTTCACAACCCGCCACCTCCTTTCTTCTATCTTCAATTGCTTTCAAATTCCTATTTATCAGGTCAACAGCTTCCCCCATCGGTTTGCTTAGGGCGATTATGTAGTTTCTCGCCTCGTTCAGGCTTAACGTCTCCTTTGTATCATGGGGCTTCAGTCCCAGCACTCGTGCCAATAGCTTGAGAGTTGTTTCGCGTGACTGGACCCAGCTCTCCGAGTAAAGATCGATTTCTCTCTGTGTGAACTCTTCCCCTTTCTTTTTGCAGGCAAGAAACCTACAAATGACAAAAAATGTCAGTACCTCGGTACTATGATTCCTTGGTATAAAAAAAAGGTTTAACCATTTTTTACCTGATTCAGATGTAACTGTAACTTGAGTTTAAGATCCCCTTCAAGAAAGTGTCAAATGGACAAGTTTGAAAATGATATGATAAAAAGGGGTTACGCTTTGTTATCACGGTGTTTACAATTTCTAAATGCAGTGAATAAATTTTTCACACGGTGTATTCACTCTGGATGTGGCATGGATCCACATTAAAAGTACTCAACGTAACTCTAAAATTTACGTTATCGTAGTATAATTATACCTGAAGGCTTCGTTGTCAAAGCAAAAATAGTTTTCCTTTGAGACATCGATCGAAATCTGTTTTTCGTTTAGAAGTTTCTTCAGTGCTGGAAGAGTGTCTCCTGGTCTGTAAAAAGTTCCCCTGGAGTTGGTAAAGGCGAACATTATGTTGGAGACCAGTGACTTGTGAAGGTGGGTCAGCAATTCCAAGACACAAAACTTAAAAGCTACCGTCAACCTTGCATTGTTTGGTTTGAGAAGCACAACAACGGCACTTATCTTGTCGAAGCATTGAAGGAAGTCCAAGGTGTTCGCAAAGTTTTTCTTATCCTGATCAATTCCCCTACTGTCCCCGATGCCTGGAGTGTCGATGAGGTGGAACCTTTCAGTGTCTGACTCAAAGATATACTCCTGTGGGAACTGGGTGGCGGACTCTCCGGTTTTGAAAACTTCATTTTCATCAGATCCAAAGGAAATGTCCACCTCCTCCCCATCTTCATTTGTAAAGGAAAACCTTAAATATAGAATTTTCATCGTGTATTTAAATCATCTTGGCTGGTTGTACTCCAAGAGGGTCTCAATCGCGTTAACCGTGAAAATTAAACCGTAAAAGTCATCACCCCATTGAGACGCTCTTCCAATAGTGTTTTGTAACCCTTATCCTTTTTTACTTCGAAGCAGCAAAACATGAAAATTGATAAATGTTCAACTGCACCAAGCATCAAAC